GGGGAGATTGTGCTGTAACATCTCACTGTAAATTCCTTTAATAGTTCGCGTTCCTTTCACGGGGCCGACTGATGGCTGTCTCCGCAACCTATTGCGCAGTAAGTGGGAATAACAAAATACCTTTTGTGATATCTTCCGTGCTTACAAGGCTCATTGAGATTTGGAAATCTTCACTCTGCACTTTGATGCACTTTATATGCATCCTCGTTACATGGCAAATGCAGTCATGCAATTTTTGCTTCTTTTTAGAAGCTCCCCAATTACGTCAAGCTTATCCTCCTATTATTATCCTTCGTGGTAATGCTACAAATGATCTGGTTCTACAGCAAACAAGGCTTCATAGCACTTATTTTCGATACCCATGACTCAAAGAACGCCTACCTGGTGATGCCAGACGAGGGTCCGAATCTCTCTTTCCTACCAAATCTTGCTTCCATTTCATGGCCCCATCACAGTCGACCAAACTTCACTCGACGGTCGGTAGGAACGGGGTTTGAGCTAACACTGAGCGAAGGTCAACACAACAGCTTGGAAAGGCTTCTGCGAGAGTTCGAACGTGTCATGATCTCCCTAAAGCTGCAGGATCAGTGGTTTCTTGCTGCTGGCACCCTAGTAGGTTCCCTCCGTCATCACGAGATCATCCCATGGGATGATGACGTTGATGTTTGTGTGGACCTACGTCACCGTAAATCGATTCAATCAGCACTGCAAAACCTCCCACCAGAATTTAGAACATATGCGCAATCGGGTCGTGATAAGCTCTTCTTCAGACCGATAATCGAAAATGAGACTGTTAACTCAAGCACCATTGGCAGTTTTAATTATTCGCATGTACCTTGGGCCTGGCCATTTGTAGACATCCTTTACTTTAGGCGAACAGGCAATGACACGGCAGTGGAAGTCATGTGGGAATCGAAGGAATATGACCTCAAGCAAGTCTTCCCAGTTATGTATCGGCCCTTTGGCCAACATTGGTATCCAGCGCCCCGCAATCCCGTAAGCCTGCTTTCCACGTACTACTCCTCAAGCAAGCATCTTTGTATGTCCACTGCTTATTCACATGCTGCAGAAAGGTCGATTCCATCAAGTTCCGTTCCATGTAGTTCACTATTTAACCAACATGCATTCGTTCAACGCTGTCCCGTTGCGGGATATAAGCGCACTTGGGAAAGACTACAATTCTGCG